GTTTGCAAGCCATCCTGGCCGGGCTGCGAGCCAGCTGCGTGCGCACAAGGTTGTCCGCTCGCACCCCGGAACGGATGTGCGACACTCTGCAGGTGCATAAATCACGGCGCTACCTACATTTCTAACCCCACGCCATTCTTCAAGGTGCGGTAGGCAGGAACCCGGCAAAGAGGAAGCCGCTCGGCACAATTCAGCCTTGAGCAAAATAGCAGCTTTTGCTGACTGTGGTTTAAACTCACGTGAGAGTGTGTGTTTGTTTTAAACCAGTGCTATTGATTCAAGGCACATAGTTCTTTCTTTCCCTGGTTAATGGTGCCTATCAGCCTGCCGAGGGTATTCTGTTTGTTTATTTCTAGATCGTGTAACATTCCTATAGAGGCTCGGTTGGTGGTCTGCTTTCTAAACCCACACTTATTCCACTGTCAGAATTAATGCACATTTCAGGGAGCAAATCATGTCGGAGGCCCAAATTCATCAACAATCCAGCCTCAGCTACTAAAACAGGACAACTCGTGAATGACTGGTATTATTCCCTGGGCTGCAGGAAGCAGCGAATGCCCAGCAATATTGCTACTTAAAAGCACAAATAAAAAGCAAGGCGTCTAACCGCTGGGCGGAGGTTTTCAGGGGGTTGGACTGCTCACTGCCGTCGGTTTAATTTCGTTCTCTTATTCCTGGAAGGTCCCATGCCTGGTGCTTTATGCCTGATGGGGATATAACTTTTAGGCTAGGGGCAGCTAACAACCCAACCCTTAGCTGTCGTGAGCGACACAGGCCCTGTCGGAAAGCGTGGCCCTTCAGAGGGGAACAGGCCCAGAGAGGGGAGGGGCCATGCAAGAGGTGTAAACATGTGCCTTAGCCTCTGACTTCACTGCCGGAGAGGTACCGCAGGGTGAACGCTCTGGGTAACTGCCTGCTGAAAACCATACCAGTGCTGGACACTCGGTGGCGGGCGCTTTGTGTCACAACAGAGCGTGTTCCTGTCCGCAACAGGGCAGTGTGTCAAACCCATTCAGTGCTCTGCAAGTCTAGATGTCTCCCTCAACAGCCTGCTGCTCCCTCGGCTGCAGAGATATTACCGCCCTTCCAGGCAAGGGGCGTTTGGTGGTGATGGGGAAGAGGGATCTTTTTCCTCCCGGCATGAGGCTTAACTCCTACAGACAGCAAGTCCAAGGGCTGATCAAAGGCTGTTGAGCCATGAAAAGTCTCCTCTGGGCTTTGGCTTGGTAGCCTCATGGTAGACATACATGATATAAAGGAGATATTTGTAGTCACTGAACATGCCGCATAGACTAACAAGAAGGTTAAGCTGGTATCCAATACTCAATCATGGTGCTTCTTACTCTTCACTAACTGGCAGACAAGCCCTCACCTGCTCTATGCTCCCGAAGGAAATATTTTCCGTGGGAAAAAATAAGGCTTGAATATGTTAGGGCCGGATTTTGATTTCCCCCATGCAGTTTTTACACCCCATGTCTCCACTGACTTCAGTTGTGTTGCTTCTGATTTGAACCAGCATAACTAAGAGGAGAATTGGGTCTTTGGAGTCTATGCAAAAGGGTTTTCAACAACCTGACACATTGTATAAATGCAAGAACTGGATTCACAGAAACAGTCTGTGCGATTTCGAAGTAGCACATCTTGCTCGCTGATTAAAGCTTCACGTCTGCTCAGGTAGCTTTGAGTTTTGAGCCTCCATCTTTCACAGGGAAATCTTTTCTGTTTTAACCAAGGAAAACTAATTTGCAATAACACAGACATGGTTATGAGTTAGGCTTCATTGCCAGTGGGTGTCACATTGTCTTGGTGAAGTTTCGCCAAGTGAAAAAAAAATAACATCCCTCTGTTGTTTTCCTGTATGTGCAGGCTTCTAAATTGCTACACTACAATTTCATTTGCATATGTACTAGTGAATTTTCATCTCCGGGGACAGCAAGGTGGGGATGTAATATGAAAGCATTACAAAAATGTATGAAATCACTTTATTTTTTTTTTGTTTATTGGCTGTGATTCCATTTTAAAAGAACATCATATCACTTATCCATGGCATGCAGAAAAAGGTAGCAGGCAAATTACAAATGAAATTTACATTCACAAAGTCTCTACTTTAAATCATCTTCTGGCTGCTTGGAAGGTACTGCATGCATGGAGACAATTGGGAGCATTTCTATTAGAAAAATGCACCATCTAGTTAAGAGTTTTGCCTCTGTGTGTATGTGCATGTGTGTGTGTATGAAAACAAGCATTTTTTTTAGAGGACAGTTACTGAAATATTTTACTGACTCAGCACATGGAAAACATTATCTTGGTAACAGAGTAAAACAGATACGGACACATTTCAGATACATAGGACATTACATTCAGGTCACAAGAGTTGATTGCTAACAACAGTTACGCTAGTGCGGTAAGCTTGTCAAAAAGATGGGGCCAGCAGCATTGGTATGGTTCTTCTTTGACGCAGGGACGGGGACGGGGAGAAACGAGGGTAACGTACGATACTGGAAACATAGACAGAGAAACGCCAAAGTGATTTAGCACATGATCTAGTCTCTTTTTTTTTTAAACACAGAGTAGCATTCATAATTAATATTGCAGTCTGATTTCATATGGCTTTCTCTAAAGATAGATGTGAGTCCGTGAAGGTCAATGTCAAACTCAATTAGTTGCCTTCCACTAAGTGGAGACTTCTTGATTTTTTTTATTAAACAGAAAGGCCCTGGCGTTATGGAGGAGAAAGACTGGCAAAAAAAATGGCTGCCCACCTTTCTGTGTAAATAAAAACCAATCAAAAACAGAAGACCTCATTTTCCTGAGATTGAACCTATTGGTGATGCAACTAAAACCATGGCATGGGAAGACAAAGAGATATTCAGAATCCAAACAATGAACCATGTTTCTCTTTGGTCTTGTTTAAGTGCTTTGACGTCGGACTGAGCGTGTGGCGTTTTTACAGTGCTCCTCACGTTCATGCACCGTGCAAGTTAGTGGAGGGATGATTGTCCAATTCGGGACAGGAGAGGGGGGGGGGGGGGGGTTGTTTCAAAATTGGGGAAGAGGGGGGGGGGGGGGAGTGCCCATTGCAACTTCATTCAAAGCCGGCGAGGCACTTTGGAGCTGAAGAAACCCTCTGAGCTAGGCCCGTAACTTAGTCAAGGTCCAAACGAGTAAATTGAGGTGAGTCTGGCCAGTGTGTCCTGCTTTTCTCTCCAGTAGGGGCTGACCTGTGCATAATTCACAGGCAGAAAGAATGAGCATGGGAAAAGGGCAAGCTCAGATCGACTCCCACGGAAGCCCCTGGCAAAGGAAACTCTCTTGTTGAGCTTATGGCAGAAGGACCAGACCAGGCTGTGAGAGCTGAGGTGAGAGGGATATTGGCTACAGCCGGAGTGAGCTGGGAAACCCTGCAATGGCGCCAAAAACAGCTGTGGTGAATGTTGCTAGACAAACGGCTCTCCCATCTCTCCTTCCCAGCCTGCTGGGGCCAATGGAAACACTTGCCTGAGCCAGAAAGGCCCCGTGTTTTTATGTAGATCCCTCTCCTAACAGGCCACATGAAAAGCACAGGAAGGAACTTTGACCAAACAAACCCGCCTGTCTGGCTCGGCGCAGCCCCACTTGCTCATGAGCAGCGAGACCCTGCAGCCGAGGCGTCTGCTCTAGCTACTCCAGGATGCGATCAGGGAACAGCTGGGACCAGTTTGGTGAAACCAGCGACTGGCGAAGTCCCTGCGGCGGCACAGAGCAGTGCATGGTGTCTCTGCAAGGCAGGCCCTGAGAAACCCAGAGCAAAGGATCCACCAGACCGCAGGCACCGCTTGTGTTGCGGGAATAGGGTTCGCATGGTGAGGAAGGCAAAGCATTGCTGATAGCCCGCAGCCGAGTCATGGCTAAAGCAGGAGCAACAGCCGCTGGTTTTGTGCACCCTTCCTGATGGCAGCGAGGCACCTACTCCTCACATGACGTGCCCAGTTCCCCCGGCTCGGAGCCATGTCTCTGAAATGAATAAGAGTAGTAAAAAGTATCCGGTGTTACCAAGGGATGGAAGAATTGGCCTCCAGACAGGCCCAGATGAATACCCCACAAAAAGAACTTCAAAACCAGCTCCCAGGTTAAAGACAAGGAAGGATTTTTAGACTTGAAATGGAGAGAAATGTGCCCGCGGTAGATCTGGCAAGGGAGCACGGAGTGCCCTTCTTAGGAAAGACTGCTCTGGTGTCAGCCCCAGGCACAAGGACAAGAAATGACGTGGGTTATGGAAGGAAGTCTTAGGGGGAGCCATCTCTCTTTCGTGAAAGCGAGGGCCCCAAAGACCGATGCTATCGTCAGATGTCCCGACATTCCGCCTTTGCCCTGGGGAGGCTGGTCCCAGGCACTCCGCCCCCAGCACACGACTTTCTTGGGGCTGGTTTTTCTAAACCCAGCTCAGCTCTAGAGAAGTCTCTGGACAGTAAATATCCTTCAGCCTGCGCTCTAAGTTTGGGCACTCTGGTCCATCCCTCGCGGGGAGCTGACAGCCTGTTGTAGTTGGAATGGGTGAATCTACAGGCAATGTACAAGGGACAGCACAAACAGCCCTCTGCCACCTCCCCGACTTAAATCCAGCACAGATTGCTCCTGCCTGGCCTCGGAGAATCTAATTAGGATCCCAATTCAGAAAGCTTCTTAAGTATGTGCCTAACTTTAAGCACATTAATAGTGTCACTAGAGCAAATGGGATTGCTCAGATGCTATCTATGGACTGTCAGGACCGCATTCTTTACTGGTACTCAATGCGGGTAGCTCTGTTCACTGCAGGGAAGCGTCATCTGTCTACACCAGCAAAGAATCTGACCCTGAGTTTTTAACCGAGCTCAAGAAAAATTAAAATTCAGAACTGAGGATTCAGATCACAACACGTTGGCCCACCGTTCCACTGAAGTCAACAGCAAAGCATCCTCTAACTCCAAAGCTGACTTTGCACTGCTCCTGCCACATGGCTGCTGATGAACGGGCTGTTCTGCTAATGTAATCCCAGGCATACGTAACTCAGCAATCTGCATCCATGGGATATTTTCCCCTAAGCCATCCGTGCTATTTGGATATTTACTTCTAAGTATGTTTGAAAGAATGAATAACAGCCTGGACATGCAGTCGTGCAATTCTGCCAGGCAAATGATCCGCTTGTTTGGAGTCTCCTGAGATGGTTTCTTTTCTCAGGAGACCAAGATGCTGCCCTACTGGCCAGAACCTGAAGCGACTCTGGGCTGAGAGAATCCCAGAATCCGAAGGTCAGCTCTCCAAACAGCAGAGCAGATGGTATGAACTGTGCAACAAATCAGACTGTAAAATGTACTCACTGCGGTAGCAAAGCAGCAGCATCTGGGGTCACTGTGTCATCTGGCACAGTCCCTCGGCACTGACACCCCTAGGTTGGGAGATGTTCTAATGCCATCTGAGTTCAAGGTGTTTTTAATTGTGATGCTAGGAGAGTCTTGGTCCCGCTTTCCCATCACAGGGTAAATGCCTATGTACCCAATGATGGCACCATGTTCTAACAATACCTAGCTCCTGTGCTGCACTGTACAAGCATTCACCCATTGACCCTCACAACAGCCCTGTGAGGTAGGTAACTATTATAATCTCCAGTGTCCAGATGTAGGGGGGACTGAGACAGAGAGGTTAAGTGACTTGCCCAAGGGCACAGAGAGAAGCAGAGTCAGAACTGGGAGTCAAACTGGGGATCAGTTCCTGCCTCTTGGCCCTGCTCTCTGGCGCCCCCTGGGGGAACAGTGTATGGCCACAACACATGCTGGAGCTGGAATTCCATTCGTGGGACACAGCAGGACTGACTATGGCATTGGGGGTCTCCGCCAAAAGAGAAAGGTTGGGGAGTCCAGGTATCCATGCTGGGCTCCTCAGGCCCCTGGGTTGGGAAGTGCTGCCCCCCGACACTCCCGACGTCTGGCCTAGCCCTCATGACCGCACCGGCCACACGACCCTCCTAGTATGGCTATTCCCAAAGCAACAAGACTCTTGCTTAGAATCTAAGGCGGCTGGTTTCTACCATCCACCCCTGGTGCGGAAGCCTTGGATCTTCCATAGCTCTGCGCCAGGGGTGGCGCATGGTTCACTTTCCAAATGATCTCTTCTCCATGAGGGTGATGGACTCGGACGGAAAAGGGTCTGTTTCCGGGGGAGAGGGAGGCATCTCTTGGTACAAGAGATGTACCCAGCAATGAACAATCAACTAGCATATTAAAACTATGACACTAATTAAGGAAAATAAAAGAAGCCACTGCTCACGGTTAGTGAACCCTCCAGTCTGCTTTGGATGGAAACAAACAGGAAGCTTTTCCTTTGCTCTGTTTAATGTACAGTTGCCTTGTTTAACATACATAGTACTATGGCTTATAATAAAAGTTGTGTAGACTGCGGCTCCTTACCCCATTCAGAGGCGTCTACTGGATGTGACTATGTACACACGAGGAATGGATGGCATCTCAGGGGGCCAGGGAGAGGCCGGGGAGGGGGGTTTGAGTGGGGGAAGAGGGTGTGGGGGGTGTGATGTGTGGCAAGATTGTAGACTCTCATTTGAGACATGAGCAATCCATTGCTTTACTGTTCATGACAGTCTCACAGGCCGCAGCCGCTACTTCTTGAACATGTCTTGAAGAGGGCCAGGTAGATATTTGATGACTGTATCTAGGATGCTCTCCTCTTCCTCCTCCTCCTCATCTCCGCAGCCGGGGGGTATGGCTTTCTTTGGGCGCGTCAGACTTCCCTCGGCATTGGCTTCCAGTGCGGCCTGCGCCTCGGCTTCTCTCTCTTCCTTCTTCTTGATCCCGTACTGCAGGGGGAAAGAACACACTGTCAGACACCTGGTGAACAGAGCTGCGGGCCAGGGGAGGAGGCCCATCAGACCCTGACATTTGCTCTGACAAGGATCCCAGCTCACCGCAGCACACGCTATGAAATAATCATGAGCCTTGAAAGAGGAGCCGGCTTCCAAATGTCAGCTTGGCCAAGGAGCCCACGGGAACAGAACCGCGCCTCGCGCTGCTGCAACACCAGTGTGATTCTTAGCAGCCCTCTGCTCCCTACACCAGGAACAGGAGCGTCCTGTTCAAAGCAGCCCTCTTCCACACTGCCTGTCCCACCCCTGCTCGTGTTCGGCACCAGGCCAACGCAAATGTGGGTTTGAATCTTCCAAAGCCGTGGGTGGCGTTCTCCACCACGCTCAAGGTTAGCCCAAGGGCACAGGGGAGTTAATCCAAATTCACTTTTGAAGTGGATTAGTGAAGCGGCATTAAATGCCTGGGTGGATGTCCCTGTGCAGTATTCACAGGGCTCTACATTTAGGTTTGTTTAATTCACTTTGGAAGGGAATTTAAGCTACACTGAATGCAGAAAACTTTAATCCCGCGGAGCATCCAACAGGGGTTTAACAGTTGAAGTAATTCCCTTTCAATTCACACCTTTGGACAAATTGGATTAACCTTCTTGAGGTCTGCACTATCAGCCTGTACTTTGAATATAACTGCTTTGCTCGGGGGTGTGAATAACCCACTGACCTAGCTCTCCCGTAGACGGGGCTATGTTGATGGTACCTGAAGACAAGCCCTGAGCATCTCCAGGTGGCCAAACCCAAACACTGAACCCACTGCAATCAAGGAAGCTTTAGCTCTGGGAGCAGAGTTTGGCCAAGGTTCTGGATAGCTGGAAAGGACTGGAAGACTTTGGGCTGTCTACGCTACAGGCAATACCTAACCCTGGGGTGCAGATACAACCTGCAGTGACTGACGGGATCCTTCTGTGGGTGCAGTGATGCCACTGCCCCAACCAATGGTCCCAAAACATCTGCGGACCTGCACACGGGGCTAGGTCGGCCAGCTGTGATGCTCAGGAGTGTGGATTTTTCATACTCTTGACCAAAGCAGCCAGGCCAGCCTCAATGGTAAATGGAGACCAGGCCTTCATGTTCTAATCTGGGGCCAGGTGGCACTAGAATTGCAGAGAAAACCTGACTGGAAGCAGAGGGGTGACCTCAGTAGAACAGATGTGGCCCCGTTCCTTGCCTCTCAGAAACCGGCCTAAGTCTAGAAGGGTCGTGGCTTTCAAGATCTGCCTTTGACCCACTTCCAGGAATAATTTCTATCGCCTCCCTCCTGATTCCCCGAGAGCCGTTACATTTCTCAGGGCATTTTCAGCTGTTTCTGTAACTTCAAAGCTTAGTGGCTTTGAGCTGACGGGGGCATTAGAGAAAAGCTCGTTGGTACCAGCAGTTATGTCCACACCCAAAGCCCCCTGACGCTCCCCTTCATCGCAGTGTAGCTGAACTGATGAAGAGGAGCTGAGGGGAGGTTTGGATTTTCTCTGGACCGACCTGTCTGCCTACTCTGAATGCGTCCGCTTCCCTTTGTTCCCTCTTGCCCACGTTCTAATTAAAGCCCTGAATGGAATTAAGATGAAATTGGACACAGCAGATTCACAGGGTGACTAACTAGCCTGAACCTCTGTAAAGGCCAGCAAAACACTTTGCAAGAATAAGTGTTTTTGAAAAGAAAATTACATGGGATTTCAGAGAGATCAAAGGATTAGAGTGGCGCAAAGTGCTTGGTATTTTCCTGGTATCATTAGTACAGGGCTGTTGAATAGGCCCACTGCAGATGCACTTTGCATGATTTGCTCTTTTTATGGCTCCCATTACATAAAGCCAGCATCATTTGCTGTAATACCAACAATTCATCTGCATTCTCTCCCAAACGCTTTGGCACCAAAGCCTGGCAGGTCTCATCAAGAAACTCCTCAACATTTTCTCTTGAAGAAAAGTTTTCCTGCCTTCCCTCCCCCTCCCCGTGAAGTTTCAGAGTGACAGATTCCCAAGATTAATACGGTAGATTAAAGCACCGCTTTCCTTAAAATCCAATTAATTGCAGACGCCAGCCCTGTTTGATGTGTGTGTCGGGGACATTCGTCTCATTATTTTACCTCCATTTGATGCTAAGCAGCACTCTAATATCCCCCATTCAAATCCAGTGACATTTCATGGAAAGGTTATTTAAGACAAATTATTCCCCAGTTAGGTGAGGGGCCAATGGCAGCATTTTCCTGCCTTTGTGTGCCGAACGATGGGCGCAGAAGGAATGTCCACCAGTGGGGCACAGCAGAGTAAGCAACTCATTTTTTTGCACTCAAGAAAGACCAAGGGTTGCTTTAAATGAACTCTTGCTACTAGCCCACACCCAGCCCTGGATAGCCCTGGAGCACGCCCAGGCTATGCCTCGCCAACCGAAGGAGAAGAATTTAAAGGTTCGGTAATGAGCCGTTCCTTTGTATCTCAATGCGCTTTCCAAAGGAAGGGATGCATCATTCTCCCCACACTGGAGACAAAGGTTCAGATTTGAACGTGATGCTAGAAGAGACGACTGGCTGACAAAATACCACCCCATGCTTTGTCGTAGACCATCCCCTTGCAGGTGGATTATGCTGCCCCACCCCGCCCTCTAAAGCCTGTTTTTAAGGATCTTGTGTCTCTCTCGAATACACCCTTCTTAAATCAAGGAAAATGGGGGGAAAGCAGAACAGCCAAATTAATCACCCGTAGCCAAGGGACTCCAGCAGGGCTTGAACACCCGGGTGTCTGACCTCGCCAACTGGAGCTAATGAAATAACTTTCCCCCACCAACATGGGCCTGATTTTTCAAGGTGCAGCGCACCTGTTTCTCCCACGGACCTCCGCCATCGCTTTCTGAAATCTGTGCCTCATGTCTGTAACCAGCCCTCCTTTCCCTGTGGACGACTATCCTGGTCACCATCATGTGGGTTAGTTCTGGCACCTTCTCAGCCAGCACAGATCAAGGTAACAGCAAGATCTTTTCTGGGCAGGGCTCCCTGGACTTGCAGACTGATGATTTAACGGCACAAGACACAGCCTAGAAACACGTTTGGGGGCAGAAGCTGCGTTGGCTCTTGTGAACTGCAAGCAAGAAAAAGAAACAAACCACGAGGCCATTGACCCACATGACTCAAGGTTAAAGCCAGTTGGGAAGTTTTGGACTTTTTTTTTGATCAAAAAATGCCATGGAAACGGAAGCTTGTCATGGGAAAGGGTGGCCCACCATGCAATTTTCAGTTTGAAAAGGTTGTTTGTTTGTTTGTTTGCAAATCCCTTTCAAAACCTTTTGCTATTTTCAAAACCAAACAACTGTGGCCTTTCGCCTCAAAACCAGCCTGTGTGGTTAGATATTTACGCTCACGAAATGAAGGGTTGAAATCCAAGTAAATGTTTTGCTTGACATGAACCAATATTTCCCTTTGCTCCCAGATTTTCTGATCACAGACATGCCCATCCCACGCTGGGCTGGGAAAAGTGTTTGTGATCTCTCAGAAATGATCAGGGGTTGGAAAAACCATTTCCTGCCCGGTTCAGTCAGGCCCACCCCTGCAAATACTTAGCCGAGAGCCTGCGTTCAGAGGAGCGGCCCATGAAATTCGCCTTTACTCCACAAAATCCCATTGTAGCCCTGGCTGGGGAAGGTACTTAAGCGTGGGCTTTGAGTCCTCTGATTGGCTTCAAAGGGATCATCCCCTGAGTAAAGTGAGAGGCCGTGCTGTGCGAAGTCTTGCGGTGATTGACCTGGGCTCTCTTCTGGCTTCATTCCCTGCAAGGCTATTGATGCCTTTCTCCGGTTCTCTGGAGGAGCGGTAGAGAATTTGCTTCTCTTGCAGCTGTCATCTGCTGACTGATGCCCCTTGTATTGAAATGTCCTCAGCGTGGTTGAGAATAACCCAGCATGTGACATTTTCAGTGCATTCCTCTCCTTGGGCTGCTGCTCGCTGACACATGTTAGATAACCACCATCAAACAGGTACCTCCCTCTGCGCGCCGTTTGACTGAAATCCCTTTCTCCCCCGTGGTTGCAAATTGGACCTCAGCGCTCAGAGGGGGCGAACTGGTTCCACGCGCTATTCCGGAGTTCTCTGTTCCCGAGCGGGGTGTGGGTTGGTGACCGTGCAAGGAAACTGGAGAGATTCCAAGGGTGCCTTGTGGTAGCCTCCAACGCGTCTGTCCTTCCACGTGCCAGGAGCCTGAGAAAGCAGGCCTCTCCCGCAGCGCTGTTTCCATCGTGTGCTGCTGCCCGTCTGAATCCCTAGCCGGAGGGTGGCATTCACCCTGCGCAGAGGGCCAAGAGGAAGGCTCTGCAGGGCTCACATTGCAAGTTCAGCCCACAGATCGGCGTGGGGACGGCTCCCAAAGCTGGGAGCCCTGGATGTCGCGGCTCATACACGCCTGTCTGCGCTTCCCCAGATGCGGGCATGCGATTAGCCACGGAGCATCCTCATGCTGGGCCGCGCAGTCTCCAGGCCGAGGGAGCGCCGTGAGCCTCTGCACGGCACGTCTGCCGGACTGGGTGGGAAATGCTGCTTGTGTCAGGCAGCACGGCCTGTGGCGTGCGCGCTAGAGCAGGCAAACACAGGGCCCTGGTTGCTGGGATGGACACGCTGCCTCCTGGACCTGATGTGATCCTGATACACTTCAGTGTGACGTCAGCAAAGAGTTTAGGCGTGTGCATTGACTACAGGCACATGGGGAAGTCCCGCCGGCTGCAATGGGAATTAAACACACTGAAGTGCTTTGCTAAGAACGTGCCGTTGGGCCATGCAACAGGATGAGGGCTACTGAAAAGGACAAGAAGGAGCTGCCTGTTGTCTAGTCGGGGCTGACTGCTCAGCCAGGGAATTCTAGCTCCCTTCCGCATGCTAACCCTGCACTACCCCTCTTAAGGGGTGTTGGCCCCTCCTCATCACGCGAGGAGCTCCTGTCCAGAGCTTTCCACCAGCACATCT